CTGGCCTCTCACTGTTGTGGCCTCTCCCGTCGCGGAGCACAGGCTCCGGACGTGCAGGCTCAGCGGCCATGGCTCACGGGCCCAGCCGCTCCGCAGCATGTGGGATCTTCCCAGACCGGGGCACGAACCCGTGTCCCCTGCATCAGCAGGCGAACTCTCAACCGCTGCGCCACCAGGGAAGCCCTGTAATGAATATTTTTATTGCATGTCATCTTTGAGACCTTGTTTCTTCATATCTTGTCTATTGTTTCTCTTCTGGGTTGTTTATCTTTACAATTTGCGATAGTTCTTTATTAAACTGCCTATTAATCCTTCAAGAATTTTTTTGCGGAATTTCACCCTAATATTTGTTGTTTTCTAGTACTCATTTCTTTTACTTCTTTAGTCCATCTGAAATTTGTTTTCATGTAAGTGCTTTCATATTCTTTTATAAAAGAACCTGTTATTTGTGGCACGGAGTTTCATAGTTCAAAGTACATAGTTATTAAAATTATAAATAAGAAAGACGTTGTGTTTTTCCTTAGCAGGTTAATTCTGCTTGTATGGTGAGTCAATTTTTTTAAAGTAATTAATTAATTTTTGGCTACGTTGGGTCTTCGTTGCTGCGCGCAGGCTTTCTCTGGTTGCGGTGAGTGGGGCTACTCCTCCTTGCGGTGCGCGGGCTTCTCATTGCGGTGGCTTCTCTTGTTGTGGAGCACGGGCTCCAGGCTCACGGGCTTCAGTAGTTGTGGCACATGGGCTCAGTAGTTGTGGCTCGTGGGCTCTAGAGAGCAGGCTCAGTAGTTGTGGCGCACAGGCTTAGTTGCTCTGAGGCATGTGGGATCTTCCCGGACCAGGGCTCGAACCCGTGTCCCCTGCGTTGGCAGGTGGATTCTTAACCACTGCGCCACCAGGGAAGTCCAGTGAGTCTATTTTTAAGGTGTAGGGTGTGGTGAAAGAAAACTTGTTTTATAATTCATGTACTTCCTAGGAACCATAAAGTTGTATTTCACTTTGAACTTTTTTTCCCTTAGAGAAAACTTTTTTGTTAGGGAAAAATTCAACATATACAGAAGTAGTCAGAAGAACATAATTAGCCTTCATGTACCCATCAGCCTCAACAGTTGTTGGCCAGTTAGTTATCTGGCCAATTTGTGTCCTCTCTCTTCCCGCTTAACTGCCTTCCTTGTATTATTTTGAGGCGAATACTAGGCATCAAATCATTCTTCTATAAATTTTTCAGTGTGTATTTTTTTTTTTTTTTCGGTACGCGGGCCTCTCACTGTTGTGGCCTTTCCTGTTGCGGAGCACAGGCTCCTGACGCGCAGGCTCAGCGGCCATGGCTCACGGGCCCAGCCGCTCCGCGGCATGTGGGATCTTCCCAGACCGGGGCACGAACCCGTGTCCCCTGCATCGGCAGGCGGACTCTAACCACTGTGCCACCAGGGAATCCCTCAGTATGTATTTTTAAAAGATAAAGACTTTCTTTTTAAAACGTATCTTTAAAACCACTGTTTTATCCAAAAGAAAGTTGGCAGTACTTCCTTGATTATCATAAACAATCTAGTTAGTGTTCAGATGTGTGTGTGTATAGTTGTGTCCTTAGGAAGTTCCGATGACAGCTGTCATGGTTTTGCCAGTTTACCTGATTACATAGGAGTATGTGTACTCGTAAAATGAGGCTGTAATTCTCAATTGATAGCTACTGAATTTTTAAAAAATATGTTATTTATTTTAACACTTCAGCTTTTATTTTTATCATGTTTACAAATGCATCTATCTAGTTTACAGCATCAGCTGGTTATGCTAGACTTCTTATAAATTACATGTATAATAACAAATGTGTGACTTGAGAAAATATTGTAGTTTGAAATAATTTTAGATTTATGCTGAAGTTACAGTAGTACAGAGTTCCCATATACTTTTCACCTAGCTTCCCTCAATGATAACATCTGACAACCTAAAAGAATTTTTAGTTGAATTAGGATCTAAAAGTAGGCCCACACATGGTGATTTTTTGATATGTGTTTCAAGTCTCTTTGAATCTGCAATTTCCTTGGCCACTCTTTTTTTTTTTTTTAACCCCTTTGCAATTTATTTCTTGAATATGCTGAATTAAGTTTTAAGAAACAAATTCATCATGTGTGTTTTATGTTTGTATCTTCATTCAGCATCTTTTTAGCTGTGATCTTTGATAATTTCTTTCTTATCTGTATAATGTGAGTTTTGCATGAATAGTCCTATGATGTAGTAGAAAGACCAAGATTTGGAGTCAGAAAATCAGAGTTTGAGCCCCTGTGTTCAGTATTTACAAAATAATGGACTTGTTCAGTGGTTTAATTTCTGTGACCCTTAGTTTGCTTATCAAAATAAGACAATATTATTTGGGGAGTTTTTCTGAGTACCCAGTAAGATTATTTACTGAACGTTTGTTGTACCTGATGATGAAATGTGCTGGGTGGCTACCTGTTCAAAGTAGGAATTGTGTCCTCAAGGAGCTTACAGTAGGGACCTCCCTGGTGGTCCAGTGAATAAGGCTCCACGCTCCCAACGCAGGGGGCTTGGGTTTGATCCCTGGTTAGGGAACTGGATCCCCGTGTGCATGCTGCAGCTAAGACCCGGCACCGCTAAGTAAATAAATAAATAATAAAAATAAATAAATGAATAAGTAAATTTTAAAAAAATTTTAAAAAAGGAGCTTACAATAAAGGAGATGGACATGTAAATTAAAATCTGATTAGTGAGGCAGAAAAACATTTTCAAGGTTCAGTGAGTGTGATGGGAGTGACTGACTCTTTAGATGTCAGAATATTCCTCAGGGGAGGGTTAGGGGGAGTTAAGTTAACAGGAGTTAGGAGGGGTTCTCTGACATAGGGCGTTAGAAGTCTGCGGTGACAAGTGTGACCTTTGACAGGCCGCTGAAATGAGACTGGCCAGCAAGGTGCAAAGGGAGCAATGCCCGAAAAGAAACCTGGGGAGAAGGAGGCTGGGGCCACACGTTACGTATGAGGGCTTTGTAAACTGAAAAGCTATCTGAAATTTTATAGTAATTTATAAATTACTCTTAAATTTATAGAAATTTCATAGTAAAAATACAAAAATAATCATCTATTTCAAATATAAGTTTTTATCAAATATTTTATTACAGATTTTAAATTGCTACTTAATAATAGCTAATCTGGTCAGAGAAGAAATGGAACTTCTTAGGATGGTTGTTATTATCAAAGGGCACCTTAGTGTATGGTATCATCTCCTAATGTTTGTAGGGGTATTTGGCTGTTGTACATATAAATTACTGGCCCAAAAGACCTGTTGAACTTCATAAATGTTTGCCCTTCTCTTACCAGATTAGCTCCTTACAAAAAAGTCCAGAAAGTTTAGAAGTGCTGTGAGCCGTAGCCCTATTTTAGATTAAGGTCTTTAAAAACTCAACTGAAGTAGCCAGTATTAATAATATTTTTTTCAAATTTACTTGACCAGATGCTCTTTTAATCACGCATCTCCTAGTGTCCACAGAGCTTTACTAAATTACACCGTTTGTCTGGCAGCCAGTTGCGGGAGACCTCTGACACCTTTTCCTGTCTTTTGCAGTGACAGAATGCTGAGCTTCTTCCGCAGAACGCTCGGCCGCCGGTCGATGCGCAGACAGGCCGAGAGGGACCGGCTCCGCGAGGCCCAGCGAGCAGCCACGCACATCCCTGCGGCCGGGGACGCGAGGGCCGTTATCACCTGCCGAGTGTCCCTCCTGGACGGGACCGACGTCAGCGTGGACTTGCCGGTACAGTTTGCTGACTTGCACGTTCGTGCTGAGGTCATGTGCTTCTCTGGAGCTGCGGGGAGGGGCGGGGGATCAGGTCACTTGGGCAGGTGGGAGCCACGCCCGCCGCACAGGTGCATGGATCAGGTGGCCTTCGACAGCTGGAGCGCTGGGACTTCTCTGGAATTAGTGGCACTTAACTGGAACTTTCAGATGTTAGGGCAGTTGCTGGTGTGAGTCGTCTGTGTGTGTGTTTGTGTGTTCTCCATGGTGGCAGTATGCTGTGTGCTTCCCGTGGCTTTCTCACAATCCTTGTTGAGCAGTCATTAAAGCAGTGAGAATCTTTGGGGACGATAATGATACTTATGTGGATACCATAAGACGTTTAGTTCTCTGTATTTTTTGGTAGTTTTCAAAACACTCCTCACTTTCCTCAAAACAAACACTTCCTGCCCACTTCGGTGTGCTTGTAGACATTTTAATGGAATGAAGTGAGGAAAAGGACTTTGTTCATACCCCTCAGCTCTGGCTGCCCATCTCTTTGTTCCCAAAGTAGTTTGCAGGGTAGGTTTTCCATACACTGTAATCTTTATTTCAAGATTGGATGTTGTAATTATATTCACATTTTGGGGAGATTTTTTTTGCAGTTATGAATAATCACAACTCACAGTGTGAAACAATCCAATATATCTGAAAGGAGTTAACTTATTCCTTGCAGGTCTCTTTTTTTGAGGGGAGGGGAGGTAGCTCTGTGGGGGCTGTGGAGCTTCTGTCCAAGCTGTTTGCTAATACCAAATCTCTTTCTCATGTCTTTGCCCTGTATTAAAAGGTTCACGTGACTAAAATGTGCAGTTTGAGGTGTCATTGAATGTTCCACAGTGTCTTCCCTCCCTACAGACTCTTTTTAGTGCACACTCATTCACCCAAAATGCAATTAAAGAATCCATAGCGCAAAGCGGTAGCCTGGGTGCTGCAGTGGTGCACGGTCGGACGAGCCGTGGACGGCCTTAGACTTGCAGAGTGAGAGATGAAGGGACTGGGAAGTTTGTTTAAACGAATATTCTGATTAACTGAATAATTTAAAATGTACTAGGCATGTACATTTTACGTTTTTAAAATAGTGGAATATGATAAAATGAAGACACAGGATATCTTGAAGTGTTTTGAAGTCATCTTTTTGAGTATTTATTATATTTGTACATTAGACTGGGCATTTTCAGGGTTTTTGATTCTGAAAGACTTTAATGCATTTAAATTTTCTTCCTGTAAAGGCTTCTTGAGGGTTTGTCTGATGTTCCAATATGTGCTCCTTTGTGAGGGTAGTTTTCATATTCATTTATTTGATAAGTATCTCAAGAGTTCTGTGTACTGTTCCACTGAAATATGCTTAGGCATGTGGTGAAAAGCTTGAGATTGCTGTGTAGGAGAGTGGAAGGAAGTTTCTTATTACCTAATGTTGGAAGTATGAAGTCTCGAGGGTGTTGATGGAGAAGCTGACACCAGGAAAGTAGAATAAATGCCTAGTGACTGGTTTAGAATGCTTCCCCTTGCTTGGTGTGCTCAGTGAGGGCATGTGTGATACTCCATCAGGCCAGAAACATTAGCCCGCCTTGCACGCACACAGCTGCAGCGAAAAAGCGAGGAGTTTTACATTTGTCTCTGTGCAGCCAGAGCAGTCGCCTTTTCAGCTCCGCAGGCGAAATCCTCGAGTTAATAAGCTAACTCTGGATGCTTGCGTGGATATAAAATGGGCATTGCCCTCCCAGCTAAACTGCCTTACTAAAGAAGATGGCCAGAAGTTTAGTAATTTCTGGGAAGAAAAGTTTTTCTCTTATAATTTTTCTAAACTGCCTTACTAAAGAAGATGGCCAGAAGTTTAGTAATTTCTGGGAAGAAAAGTTTTTCTCTCTTTCTTTAATTTTTTAATACAAACTTCTTTCTTTCTTTTCTTTTCTTTTCTTTTCTTTTTTCTTTTCTTTCTTTCTCTCTTTCTCTCTTTCTTTCCTTTCTTTCCTTTCTTTCTTGCTGCGTTGGGTCTCCATTGCCGCACATGGGCTTTCTCTAGTTGCAGCAAGTGAGGGCTACTCTTTGTTGCGGTGCACGGGCTTCTCATTGCGGTGGCTTCTCTTGTTGCAGAGCACGGGCTGTAGGCACATGGGCTCAGTAGTTGTGGCTCATGGGCTCTAAAGCACAGGCTCAGTAGTTGTGGTGCACGGCCTTAGTTGCTCCGCGGCATGTGGGATCTTCCTGGACCAGGGCTTGAACCCGTGTCCCCTGCACTGGCAGGCAGATTCTTAACCACCGCGCCACCAGGGAAGTCCCGGGTTTCCCTTTTTTTTTTTTTTTGCAGTACAAGGGCCTCTCAGTGTTGTGGTCTCTCCCGTGGCAGAGCACAGGCTCCGGACGCCCAGGCTCAGCGGCCATGGCTTACCGGCCCAGCCGCTCCGCGGCACGTGGGATCTTCCCGGCCCGGGGCACAAACCTGTGTCCCCTGCATCTGCAGGCAGGCTCTCAGCCACTGTGCCACCAGGGAAGCCCCAGGTTTTCCCTTTTTTTGATTTAGCTTCTCAGCCAGTCTAGTATGACTCTGAAAGAAGATTTAGAGTTGACCTTAGAAACTGAATGAAGCACATACTTATTTCCTGTTGGGCTTAGCGTCAGTATTGATCGTGGCAAGCAGCCTGGAACTCAGATGATGGTCCAGGCAATATGCAAGGGATTATCTGTAGTTCAGTAGAGAAATCTAGATCTATATACTTCAAATTAATATACACTTAGTAGTAATGGTCATTTTCTTTCTTCCGTTCTCCTTTCCTCTCAAGATTGGGGGAGGAATTTAAATACCTTCTACTTCCTTTTTTTTAAGGAATTAATGTAGTGAGAGTGCCTTTCAGTAAATGATAAAAGCAAGGCATCAGGTAGAAATTTCTAATTATCTGGTTTTTAAACTTTCTCTTTGGAAATGCCATAGTAACTCCTTCGATTTATGAGCTTAATATTGTTTAGTAAATAGCCTGTCTTGTAAAACTCTGTGTCTCCTAGGTTTTAAATTAATGGGAAATATTTGATTAACCATTAGATAATTTTTATATATCTACTTTGCTGATACAGATGCTGAAATCTTTAAATTATATAGACCATTGTATCTTAAAATAACTGAAAAAACATCCTGTGTTCATGAATTGTAAGACTTAACATTGTTGAGATGGCAGTATACCCAAAACTGATTTACAGATTCAACATAATCCCCACCAGAATATCAGCTGATTTATTTGTGGAAATTGACAAGCTGATTTTCAAATTCATATGGAATTGCAAGGGACCCAGAATAGCCAAAACAATATTTGAAAAAGAACAAAGTCGTAGGACTCACACATTTCCCAGTTTTAAGACTTAACTGTAAAGCAGTAGTAATCTAGATGGTGTATTTTGCTGGCACAAGGACCAATGGAACAGAATAGAGAACCCAGAAATAAACCCACACATCTATGGTCAGTTGATTTTTGACAGGGTGCCAGAGCCATTCGATGAGGGAAAGAATGGTCTTTTCAACAAGTGGTGCTAGAACTGAGTAGCCACATGCAAAAGAATGAAGTTGGACCTTTAACTCCTAAATACACAAAAATTAACTCAAAATGGATCAAAGTCCTAAACATAAGACTTTAATACTCTTAGAAGAAAATGCAGGGATAAATCTTCATGACCTTGGATTTGATACCAGTTTCTTGGATATGACACCAAAAACATGAACAACAAAAGAATAAATAAATTGGACTTAATCAAAATTATAACCTTTGTGCCTCAAAGGACACCATCAAGAGAGTGAAAAGATTCTCACAGAATGAGAGGAAGTATTTGAAAACTATATATCTGATAAGTAACTAGAACATGTGAAAAACTGTTAGAACCCAATAATAAAAAGACAAATAACCCAATTTAAAAATGGCAAAGGGGCTGGAAGATCCAACATGCCGCGGAGCGGCTGGGCCCGTGAGCCATGGCTGCTGAGCCTGCGCGTCCGGAGCCTGTGCTCCACGGCGGGAGAGGCCACAACAGTGAGAGGCCCGCGTACTGCAAAAAAAAAAATTTTTTTAAATGAGCAAAGGATCTGAATAGACATTCCTCCAAATAGGATATGCAAATGACCAAGAAGCAGATGAAATGCTTGACATCATTAGTTGTCAGGGAAAATGCAAATTAAAAAACATGAGCTACAACTTCACACCAGCTAGGAAGAGGCTAAAATAAAATACCAAGTGTCGGTGAGCATGTGGAGAAATCTGAACTCTTACTCGTTTTAGCAGCAGTGTTAAGGTGGTCCAGCTGCTGCTCTGGAGAACAGTCTGGCAGTTCCTCAAATGATTGAACGTAGTTACCATGTGATCTGGCAGTTCCACTTCTAGGTGTATGCTGAAGAGAATTGGAAACACGTTTACACAAAAACTTGTACACAGGTGTCCATAGCAGCATCATTCTGAATAGCCAGAAGGTAGAAGCAGCCCAGACAGGTAAGTGTCAGCAGATGAACGGATAAACAAAATGTGTTTTATCTGTATAACGGAATACTATCAGTACTTGACCGTAAAGGAAATGGTACTGATACATGCTACATGGATGAACTTTGAAAACATTATGCTAGGTGAAAGAAGCCAGTCACAAAAGACCATATATTATGTGATTCCGTTCGCATGAAAGTCCAGAATAGAGAAATCCAAAGGGGAAAAAAAAGGACATTGGGGGTTGCTTAGGGCAGATGGGGGGGGACCGAGGGGATGCTGTGAAGGGTGGTTGGGGCCAGTAGCTGAAGGATGTGAGGTTTCTTTTTTAGGCGATGAAGATTTTCTAAAATTAATTGTGGGGATGGTTGTATATATCTGTGAATACATCTTTGAATTATATACTTTTATTGGGTGAGTGGTGTGGTGTGTGATTTATATCTCAGAGCTGTTTAAGAATGCATGGATTTTTGTATACTTGTGTTTTATTCCACTTCAAGTTTTTTTAGTTGTTAAGAAACATGA